CAACGCTAACGTCGCTATACTGAGCAGCCCGCTCCGCGCCCCCCCCGCACCCGCCTGCACGCCAGCCGTCGACGCGCGCAGCGCCCCCCATCCTCCCGCTACAGTCAGTGTCGCTCCCCGCCTCACGCGCTGTGTGCGCCGTGCTGTACCGCCCCGGCCCGCAGGTACAGCCGCTACCTCTCCTTCCACTTCCCCTTCACCCACGAGCGCTCCCTGCTGGAGCACCTGCGCGCCGTGCCCTGGAGGTTTGACCAGCGCCTGTTCAAGGTGGGTGCGCGGCAGGCCGGCAGGCCAGCACGCCGCGGCCGCGGCAGCCGCCGGCGGGACCACGGCTCCGCCCCGCCGGCCGCGCGTGCCGCGGGGAGGCCGGCGTGCGGAGCGGAGCCGTAAGCCGAGTCCCGCCTGCCTATGCCCTCCCCGTCCCTTGCGCTGCGCAGGCGTGGCGCCAGGGGCGCACCGGCTACCCGCTGGTGGATGCGGCGATGCGGGAGGTGTGGGGCACGGGCTGGATGCACAACCGCATGCGCGTGGTGGCCGCCTCCTTCATGGTCAAGAACCTGCTGCTGCCCTGGCAGGTGAGGCGGGGGGCGCAGGGGGCAGGGCTATAGCATGGGGTGAAGCGCTGGCCGGCTGGGGCAGTGGGGCGCAGCACGCGCCTGGGCAGCGGCCACGCTGCCTGCCTGTGCCGGCTGCCAGGCTGCCAGGCTGCGCGGTGCCTCCTTTCCCGCCTGCCTGCTGCCGCTCCCGCGCCGCTCACCCCTCTCCCCTCCCCGCCCCCGCCCCCCGCCTCCCTCCCGCAGTGGGGCCTGAAGCACTACTGGGACGCGCTGCTGGATGCCGACCTGGAGTGCGACGCCCTGGGCTGGCAGTACGTGGCGGGGTGCATGGCAGGTGGGGACAGGCGCCGCGCCGCGTGGCGGCCGCAGGCAGGCAGCGGCCGTCTCCCGCTCGCCCCGCCTGCCCTGCCCTCTCCACCTCAGCACCCCACCACACGCCCCTCGCATCGACGCACACCTTCCGTATCCGTGTTCCTCCACCCCC